TCATTTCCATCACCTTACATTTGCTGGTGTTGTAATTCAGAAGCCATTTCTCTTGGCTCAACTCTGTAGCGTGTCAAAGTCATCTTGGAGAATTTTACAATCCTAATGGGTTTCAACTTTGTCTCATTAATTTTGCGTCGCCTGCAAACATCGACATATAGGATTCATCTCCTATTGATAGGTCAATAACATAAATGAGAAATAATAGAGGATCTCAGTGTCAATCCTTGAGGCACTCCGCTTGTTACTGTACGCCAATCCGAGTTCTCACCTCTCTCTCTCTAACCTTCTGACTCCTGTCTGGTAGGTATTCCCTTACCGGAGCCGGTCGGCCGAGCGGACAGCACACTGGACTTGTGATCCTGTGGTCCTGGGTTCGATCCCAGGCGCCGGCGAGAAACAATGGGCAGAGTTTCTTTCACCCTATGCCCCTGTTACCTAGCAGTACAATAGGTACCTGGGTGTTAGTCAGCTGTCACGGGCTGCTTCCTGGGGGTGGAGGCCTGGTCGAGGACCGGGCCGCGGGGACACTAAAACCCCGAAATCATCTCAAGATAACCTCAAAATCTCAAGAAGGTTATAATATAACCAAATTATAACTGCCACTTGAGTTCCATGTTTTGGATTTGTTTACTTTCCTTATTACTTGATATCTTCCCCCTTGGAAATGTTGCTTCTGATATCATACCATTAATTCTTGTTTCCCACTCTTGCAGTTATATCAGGTTCTTGTTCAGCTTGCCTTGTATGGTTATCGTATCATCTAGCACTGAGAGCTAGTCCTCTTGGTTATCATCTCATCTAGCACTGAGAGCTGCGCCTCTAGGTTATCATCTCATCTAGCACTGAGAGCTGCGCCTCTTGGTTATCATCCCATCTAGCACTGAGAGCTGCGCCTCTTGGTTATCATCTCATCTAGCACTGAGAGCTAGTCCTCTTGGTTATCATCTCATCTAGCACTGAGAGCTGCGCCTCTAGGTTATCATCTCATCTAGCACTGAGAGCTGCTCCTCTTGGTTATCATCCCATCTAGCACTGAGAGCTGGTCCTCTTGGTTATCGTCTCATCTAGCACTGAGAGCTGCTCCTCTTGGTTATCATCTCATCTAGCACTGAGAGCTGGTCCTCTTGGTTATCGTCTCATCTAGCACTGAGAGCTGCTCCTCTTGGTTATCATCTCATCTAGCACTGAGAGCTGGTCCTCTTGGTTATCGTCTCATCTAGCACTGAGAGCTGCTCCTCTTGGTTATCATCTCATCTAGCACTGAGAGCTGGATCTCTTGGTTATCGTCTCATCTAGCACTGAGAGCTGCTCCTCTTGGTTATCGTCTCATCTAGCACTGAGAGCTGGATCTCTTGGTTATCATCTCATCTAGCACTGAGAGCTGCTCTTGGTTATCGTCTCATCTAGCACTGAGAGCTGCGCCTCTAGGTTATCATCTCATCTAGCACTGAGAGCTGCTCCTCTTGGTTATCGTCTCATCTAGCACTGAGAGCTGCGCCTCTAGGTTATCATCTCATCTAGCACTGAGAGCTGCTCCTCTTGGTTATCATCCCATCTAGCACTGAGAGCTGCTCCTCTTGGTTATCGTCTCATCTAGCACTGAGAGCTGCTCCTCTAGGTTATCATCTCATCTAGCACTGAGAGCTGCTCCTCTTGGTTATCGTCTCATCTAGCACTGAGAGCTGCTCCTCTTGGTTATCATCTCATCTAGCACTGAGAGCTGCTCCTCTTGGTTATCATCCCATCTAGCACTGAGAGCTGCTCCTCTTGGTTATCATCCCATCTAGCACTGAGAGCTGCGCCTCTTGGTTATCGTCTCATCTAGCACTGAGAGCTGCTCCTCTTGGTTATCGTCTCATCTAGCACTGAGAGCTGCTCCTCTAGGTTATCATCTCATCTAGCACTGAGAGCTGCTCCTCTTGGTTATCGTCTCATCTAGCACTGAGAGCTGCTCCTCTTGGTTATCGTCTCATCTAGCACTGAGAGCTGCTCCTCTTGGTTATCATCTCATCTAGCACTGAGAGCTGCTCCTCTAGGTTATCATCTCATCTAGCACTGAGAGCTGCTCCTCTTGGTTATCATCTCATCTAGCACTGAGAGCTGCTCCTCTTGGTTATCATCTCATCTAGCACTGAGAGCTGCTCCTCTTGGTTATCATCTCATCTAGCACTGAGAGCTGCGCCTCTTGGTTATCGTCTCATCTAGCACTGAGAGCTGCGCCTCTTGGTTATCATCTCTTGTAGCACTGAGAGCTGGTCCTCTTGGTTATCGTCTCATCTAGCACTGAGAGCTGCTCCTCTAGGTTATCATCTCATCTAGCACTGAGAGCTGCTCTTGGTTATCGTCCCATCTAGCACTGAGAGCTGCGCCTCTTAACACCCCCTGTAAACTGGAGTAGTTCCTCCCGTGTGATATCGTTTGGCAACTGTTCGACCTAAATATCCTCTATCTCTTTCTTCACTACCTGTGAGGATTTGGGATGTCCGGATCATGTCCCCATGATCCAGACTTATGTGTGTGGGTATGCTCACCCTACCCCCCACCTCCCTTGCTCCCTCCTTTTCTTCCGCTTTCTTGACATTGGCGCCTCCTTGTAAGGTCGGTGCTTCCTATTTTAATTTACAATTTTCACTTCACCAAACTCCATCACCTCACCAAACTCCATCACCTCGCCAAACTCCATCACCTCGCCAAACTCCATCACCTCGCCAAACTCATCACCTCGCCAAACACCATCACCTCGCCAAACTCCATCACCTCGCCAAACTCCATCACCTCGCCAAACTCCATCACCTCGCCAAACTCCATCACCTCGCCAAACTCTATCACCTCGCCAAACTCATCACCTCGCCAAACTCATCACCTCGCCAAACTCCATCACCTCGCCAAACTCCATCACCTCGCCAAACTCCATCACCTCGCCAAACTCCATCACCTCGCCAAACTCCATCACCTCGCCAAACTCCATCACCTCGCCAAACTCTATCACCTCGCCAAACTCATCACCTCGCCAAACTCATCACCTCGCCAAACTCCATCACCTCGCCAAACTCCATCACCTCGCCAAACTCATCACCTCGCCAAACACCATCACCTCGCCAAACTCATCACCTCGCCAAACTCATCACCTCGCCAAACTCATCACCTCGCCAAACTCCATCACCTCGCCAAACTCATCACCTCGCCAAACTCATCACCTCGCCAAACTCCATCACCTCGCCAAACTCCATCACCTCGCCAAACTCTATCACCTCGCCAAACTCATCACCTCGCCAAACTCATCACCTCGCCAAACACCATCACCTCGCCAAACCCATCACCTCGCCAAACACCAACACCACGCCAAACTCATCACCTCGCCAAACACCATCACCTTGCCAAACTCCATCACCTCGCCAAACTCCATCACCTCGCCAAACACCATCACCTCGCCAAACTCCATCACCTCGCCAAACACCATCACCTCGCCAAACTCATCACCTCGCCAAACTCCATCACCTCGCCAAACTCCATCACCTCGCCAAACTCATCACCTCGCCAAACACCATCACCTCGCCAAACTCATCACCTCGCCAAACTCATCACCTCGCCAAACTCATCACCTCGCCAAACTCCATCACCTCGCCAAACTCATCACCTCGCCAAACTCATCACCTCGCCAAACTCCATCACCTCGCCAAACTCCATCACCTCGCCAAACTCTATCACCTCGCCAAACTCATCACCTCGCCAAACTCATCACCTCGCCAAACACCATCACCTCGCCAAACCCATCACCTCGCCAAACACCATCACCTCGCCAAACTCATCACCTCGCCAAACACCATCACCTTGCCAAACTCCATCACCTCGCCAAACTCCATCACCTCGCCAAACCCATCACCTCGCCAAACACCATCACCTCGCCAAACTCCATCACCTCGCCAATTTCCCCCCGCCAAACACATTGCGGGCCGGAAAGTAGCCATTTCCGGCCCTGTTGACTCGATTTTACGCTATTTCTCCGACCGTCAGAGAAACAATGGTTCGATTCCCTGTGGATCAAGAGAGACTGGAGGGGGAGGGAGAGAGAGAGAGAGAGAGAGAGAGAGAGAGAGAGAGAGAGAGAGAGAGAGAGAGAGAGAGAGAGAGAGAGAGAGAGAGAGAGAGAGAGAGAGAACACCCAGTGGTCAATACCGAGGTTATCTCTCTCTCTTGAGAACATTAAATAAGTCACCGGTCCTGCTAAAGAGGACTCTCTCCCTAGTCTCTTCTCACTCCAATCTCCTCTCTCTCTCTCCCCTCTCTCTTCTCTTCTCCCCAATCTCCCCCTCTCCTGTCTCCCCACTCTCCTCTTCCTCCCCCCCTCACCCCGCTCCCCTCCGACGCTCAGATCAAGGGGAGATAATTTTTTTTTTAAGCGTTCAAGCTACAAATTTCGACTCGTGGGGAACACCTCATGACTCCTGCTTCCACACCGTGTCTGGGTCTTGGGTCTCTGGGAGCATTTGGGTATCTTGGTTTTGGTTATCTGAGAATATTTAGGTATCTGGGAGCGTTTGGGTATTTTGGTCTTGGGTCTCTGGGAGCATTTGGGTATCTTGGTTTTGGTTATCTGAGAATATTTAGGTATCTGGGAGCGTTTGGGTATTTTGGTCTTGGGTCTCTGGGAGCATTTGGGTATCTCTCGCCATTTAGGGTTGCCTGCCCCCCCCCCTCCACCCTGAGGTAACTTGCAACCTGTGCAATACAATGCACTGTGCAGCTGGGAGGCGCTCGAGCGCCTATATATATATATATATATATATATATATATATATATATATATATATATATATATATATATATATATATAATATATATATATATATATATTGTAACAGGTTGCAAGAGAGGCGGTGGAGCGCCCTGATAAGAGTGGGTGACGGCGTATGGGTCCAGAGTCTGAGAGCCGCCGCTGATTGGCCACTTGACCACCTGATGCAGCCCCGGGTCGCGTGGCGCGCTCTGATTGGCTCATTATGTGCACTCACCGTGTTGTTTACTTCCGCGCCGCCGATGCCTCAGCCAATACCGCACCTGCTCGCCTCTTGGGAACCACCAACAAGTAAAATGGGAATCACAATTTATCGCCGTTTATAGTTGCTGTCCTTGTTATGTAATTGTCAGCGGCGCAACACATGAGCAACAACATAACCCAGTGTTTGTGTTGTCTGTGTTCCACGTCGCAATGACAGCAAAACAAAAGACTCAACTGTTGTCTAAAGGGAGAAACATGAGAGCAGAAATCTCTTTGTCTGGCTTAGTCTTCAGTACCACATGATACAGATCATCAACGCATCAAACAAACTTTGATCTTCACACACACCTGGGATGAGCTTGCTCATCCCACACCTGCTGTCGTAGATTAGCAGGCGATGAGTCACATGAGTGGCTGAAGAATGTTGACCAGACCACACACACTAGAAGGTGAAGGGACGAGGCTGAAATCGACTCAGGTCACAATCGACTTGAGAATGGTCCAGGACGGACCGAAACGTCGTCGTCCCTTCTAGTGTGTGGTCTGGTCAACACTCCCAACTCAAGCTGTGTCTAGCTGGCGATGTCTCCCCCGAAGCCCTCAAGGAGCCGTTTCTCACTATGCCAGCTAAAAGACGATGCCCGCTAATGAAAGGGCGATGAAATTATACCAATAAATGTCGTTCTCTTCGACTACCTCGTTGCTAAGGCGACCAGGAACATCATAGTGGGTCAGAAATCGACCCATTGAGATCTTGAAATTAAATCGGCTTATATTTGGGATCCCACGAGGCGACGGACCACGCAGCAGTGTCACGCATTAAACACAACCTCGTAACACTGGGTTTAAAAATGTTTACCTTTCCTTTATTCCATTATACACCGATGATGAAATGTTACTTTCGGAAAACGTGAGAAGTACTGATATATATATATATATATATATATATATATATATATATATATATATATATATATATATAATATGAAAAACACATGCAACAAGGGAGCTGAGACGAATTATTAATCCTTGTTGGAAGCTGCTTAATAGCCACTCCCTCCTCACTCCCCGCCCCTCTCCTACCACCGCCCCTATACCCTCCCCCCACCCCCACACCACAACATAATTAAGGGACTGTAATTTGCCTACTTCATTCGGATAGATCCCCTCGTGTGGTCCTGCACCATCTGAGGTCTACCTGTGTGTGTGTGTGTGTGTACTCACCTAGTTGTACTCCCGCCTCTCAACTGTCAATCAACAGGTGTACAGATTCCTGAGCCTACTGGGCTCTATCATATCTACACTTGAAACTGTGTATGGAGTCAGCCTCCACCACATCACTGCCTAATGCATTCCATCTGTTAACTACTCTGACACTGAAAAAGTTCTTTCTAACGTCCCTGTGGCTCATGTGGGTACTCAGTTTCCACCTGTGTCCCCTTGTTCGCGTCCCACCAGATGTATGTGTGTGTGTGTGTGTGTGTGTGTGTGTTTATTCTCTTTGCTTCAGATAGCTTCCTTTTCTTAAACACACACACACACACACACACACACACACACACACACACACACACACACACACACACACACACACACACACACACCTATGCAAATCTAAAAGAGGAGAAGGTTATCACATGAGAGCATCTGTAGAAGAGGCTCTAGTATGGGATGTGGTGGATAATTAAGGTCAGGAGAGGCACCAAGTGCAGCTCAAAGATTGCGCCTCCCTGATAAGGAAGATAAGCGCCGGGGAAGGATGTAGGGGAGAGGAAGAGGGGCAAGAGGGAAATAAGAGGAAGGGGATAAGAGCCAGTGAAAGGGAGAAATGTAGGAATAGGAGGAATTGACAAAAAAAGATGGAAAGAAACCTATTTCTGTGGGATAATGTGTTTCGTCCTGCTTGTATTTGCCTGAAATTCTGGTTTTTCCTGTTTTGGGTGTTTTATTTAAAAACAAAATGGGGTAGTTATTTCTTTCCATCCTTGGGATCGAACCTGGGTATCCTCGATTGCAAGTCGGAGACATAGATTACAAGACTCATATTCACGGTGAGACTTGACGTCGAGTATGACAGGCCAACAAGTGGTGCTGAGCCAGGGAGTTGTTGTTGCTAGCGGCGGGCATGAAGACTGCCTCTACCGGTCTCGGAGACTCGTGTCCGAGACATAAATATAGCAACCCGTGTCAACTTAACCTATTATAGGTATGGGTTAAGTAATAATTGTAATTACGAAGCAATAAGATGCTTATCTTAAGATACTAAGAAGGTTTCTATTCGGTGTTTTCTATGAAGCTTTTCAAGGTAAACTAGTATGTTTAGTATGTCACATATGAACGTATTTAATAAGTCAATATTGACTGAAAGAAAGTGCGAGAACGGGTTGAATATAGCATTGTATGCTATAGGTAATATTTTGATACGTTGCAGGAAGCTTTGCGAATATTTTCTGTCTGTCAGTATGTCTGTCTGTCTGTCTCTCTCTCTCTCTCTCTCT